CTGCATTGACGGTGGCGACACAGTATCAGACGGCGGTCTGGCAAAATCGGTAGCCACACACTTTAAGCACGAGCCCATGTCCGTGTGCTCGCCTGCGAGCACACGGCAGTGATGGGCTGTGTGGGAATTATTCTCACACGGGAATGTTCATGCGCATGCGTAAGCTGACGTCACAGTCACGTGTCGGCAGCTTTCACAGACGTATCTGAAACCGTTAGCCGTTAGGTGCCCGTGCCGGCCGTACTCCGTAAAGGGCTTTATGTCTTTACGAATTTTCGTGCATTTTTTGCGAGAGGTAGGTAATCTTTGTGTAACAAAAAGCAAAAATAAAAAAAATCCGCAATAGAAAATTATGATAATATAAGTTTGTTTGCGTCGTAATAAATCAGCTGCAGACGTAAAAAATAACAAACAAATATATTTCTTTATTATTATTTGTATTAACTATTTATTCTATTTGTTTAAAGGAACTTTCTTCTCTTTGTAACTCCCTTCATATTTCCTTCCTTGCTAGAGGCCTAACGATACCTCAGATCTTACCAAGATACATACATTACTGAGCAGCCATAGCGTTTGCTTAGTGCGCATGCGTCACTTTATTCCCACACAGCCCATCACTGGCGCACGGACATGGGATCGTGCTTGTATGTGTATTACAGCGCCACACCACGATAAATGGCCGAACTTATAGGCGTGGAAAAGTGACATTTTGACCAGTTTTGACGACGAAATTTGTGCACGGTGCCATTTCGTTATTATTTGCTGAATTGTGAAAATGTGACTTGTCTCGTACTTATCAAAGTCTTAATTTTCGATAAAAATTAAAGTTAGCTTGAAATTTTATACGTAAAAGTGTATATTTCACTCGTTTCAATAGCTGTTAAACCATGTGTTTCTGCCAGAATATAGCCTCACTTTACGAGCCTTTAACGACCATTTACTGACTATCAAGGGAGAAAAGGACAGTTTTCATCAATTTTTACAAGTGTTTTAAAGCGAACCCATCGTTTAATTTCATCCAAATTGTCTCTGTTTACAAATGGCATCGTGCGTAAATTAACGTGTCATTCTTCGCTTCTGACATCACGATTCCAACATGGCCGTCGCGACTACTCAGGGGCCTTAAAAACAAAAATTATATGGGAAATTAATGTTTTCAAAGACAATTTTTGATTTTAGAGCAGGAAATCTATTTCCTTGACCTTGACAATACATGTTAAGGTCAAGGTCATCCAAGGTGGGTTCGTTGTTTTCCAACGAAAATTATATGGGAAGAAGCGGAAATGTGACGTTATTTCTTAAATTTTTTTGTTTATAACTTTTTACCGAACAGCGACCGCCATCCAAAACCTGTTGGAGATCACTTAGGGTCATGACCTTGACAACATATGTGAAGGTCAAAGTCATTGAAAGTGGATCCCCTTTTGTATATATTTACCTGTTTTTTAAACTTTTTTAAAAAATAGCTTTTGGTAAAGTTTAAAAATGTTTTTAAAAAGATATGCATGTTATCTAGACTGATATAACTATGCCATTTCAGAACAAATGCAAAGGAGAATACGGGCCATACCAGATTCAAAAGAGGAGTAAAACATCTTTATAATATGGTAGTATGCGCTACGGGATGTAATCCTTTAGCTTACAAAGGATATGGTTGCTACTGCGGATTCCTGGGATCCGGTTATGTCATCGATGGTATCGACCAGTACGTTATTTACATCTGTAGGAAAGCAAATCACATCATTTACAACCACGAGTTTTTCTTCACAAGAAATAAATTAAATGTAATGTTCCAGATGCTGCAAGATGCATGATTGGTGTTACGACGCTACGGAATGTCCTATGTTCTCGGAATACTTCGTACCATATTACTGGAGATGTTATCATGGTTATAAACCTGTTTGTGGTTTGTTTATTGATTATTATTTATTTAATCTTTTCCTTATAAGCCAATATAACGTCTTTTCTACAAATTAAACTTGACTTGTTTATTTATGCTATACGACTATACGTAAATAAGGTGATATAATGAAATAAAACGATTCGTAAAATCTTTGTTACAGCGGTTGAGCATGGCAGTTGGGGCGGATCAGGATCTTGTGCTCAACGTTTATGCGAATGCGATCGTTCGTTAGCTGAGTGTCTGAAAAGATATCCTTGCCCTACTACCAAAGCAGTTTGTACTTCGTCACCATGGAGACTCGTACAGAATCTTTTCATGATTATATAAACATATTTTACAATAAGAGTAACTTATAAACTATTCTTTTTAAATAGCAGGTTACGTTTAAAAACACAAAAAATTCGCTTTACTTTGTAAGATTTGACTTTCGAGACATGAATCGCAATACCTAAAATTCACGACTTATACATATTATGTTAAAAAATTATATTCTTACTCACACAGCATACTTTCTTAAGACCTATAACGTTCTCTGAAAGTCTTTAGAACGTCCTTTGGAAGTATATTGTATGAGTAAAGGCCGAAAATTCAAATGCAAGAAAGTATTGATTACTCTTACAAATTACATATCTTTAGAGATACGTAAAAAAAAGGTCACGCTACAATCAACAACAATTATCATATTATAGTACCTATGTTTATTTTATTCGTTCTCTCTACCGTTACTTAAATCCGTTCTACCAAGGTAATAGATTTAGAATATACAGAGTGTCCAACGAGACTTCTCCAACCACCCACAGGAAGGTAGATGGGATCGAAATAAACATAAAAGTCCTTTATCGTTTAGCAATATCCGTAATAATAATCGAGATATTAATGTTTGCAATTGTACTAATGAGAATGCGCCGATAGAAACGGTTTCGGCCGCTCGAGGTATAGCCCGGCCCAGTTTGTCAAACGATGGATGCGCCGGCAAGAGAGGCAAGAGGGGAAGCGCGCCGTTGCTTAGCGCTCGGCATCGCCACTCACGCATCTCACCGCACCACACCAAAGGACTCGCGCGATTTTTTCCTTTCGATTTAGAGAAACGACAGATCACGATAGAAATTAATTAGATTTTCCGTAGATTTCCATAGGTTTCATCGCCTTCTCTCTTTCGACATTTTTATTCATCGAAGTTTATTATGGTTTGTATTTGTCCTATTTTTGCAATATTATTATTACATATGTAATGTAATCGCGAATGTGCGTAGCGGCCATCGCGCGAGTCCTTTGATGCGGTGCGGTAAGACGTGTGAGCGGCGATGCCGAGCGCTAACCAACAACGCGCTTTCCCTTTTGCCTCTCCTGCCGGCGCATCCATCGTTTGACAAACTGGGCCGGGCTATACCTCGAGCGGCCGAAGCTGTTTCTATCGGCACGCTCTCATTAGTACAATTGCAAACATTAATATCTCAATTATTATTATGAATATCGCTAAATGGTAAAGGACTTTTATGTTTATTTCGATCCCATCTACCTTCCTGTGGGCGATTGGAGAAGTCTCGCGGGACATCCTGTACAAGAATGAAAGGATTATATATATATATATATGTTACGGAACAACAAAAAGATTATATATATTACACAATAGCAAAGTCGTACTATCTTTGTGTATTATTAACATTTGATATATAATTTAACAATTTTTTTTCTCCTTTGTTTGATACCTACAACATATTTACACCTCCGGTTAAATGTACCGTCCGATTTTTGTATTTCTTAGAAATATCTCGCTCTATCTGTAATTAAATACAGTCCACTTTTTTAAAAGACATTTGAAAAAGTCGAAGTTTATTATTTTTGGCTTTCCACGATGTCGATTAGTTCTCTCATTGAATTTACTTCATGAACAGTTGTCATTGCATATTTTAACAATTGTATCGAGGGATTGATAGTGTTATAGTAACAATTTAATATTAACTGTATGCACTTAAATATTCAAACATTTAAGTATAGTAAAAAATAAAAAAATTTCTGCAAAGTAATGTGTGCGAAGCGCACGTATGCGATATCTAGTATAGAAAATAACAATATGTGTCATTATTTGATAACGTAGCATTGGAAAAAGGTGGCATACCTCTGTTTGCAATTCCTTAGTTCTTTGTATAATGAGTTTTAATAATGGACGTAATTTATCAATTTGATTCCGAGTGTCATCTTGCTTTTGTAGCACAGTTTCTTGTTGAGTTACCATTCTATCAATCAAGTTTAATTTTTGCTTTAAAATAACAGCTACTATGTCCACGTATCTGAGATAAAAATATGTACATATTAAAGATCTGTAAACAAAAAAAAAATATATATATATACACAAGGTGTTTGATAAGCAACGATAAAACTCTCTCAGGGATAGAGCGAATTAAACTGAGTCGAAAAGTCTCAGTTAACCAGAAGTTAACCAGAAAAATCACCGAATATGGATTTTCAATAATTTTTTACTCAAGTACTCACTTTTACTCAAGTATAATTTTATAGAAAAATAGCAAGTGACAAAAATTGTTTATTTTCTTCTAATAGTTCTGAAAATTTTTCAGAATTTTTTAGTAGGAGAGACCGGGGACAAAAGTAACACGGGACAATAGTAACATCGTCAATATTTCTTAAACTATAACAGATATATGTATGTGGCCGCGTGGTAAAATTCTATAAACAGATAGGCATTGAATCGTTCGTTACATGCTGATTTTCGCGGAACGTGCACGAGTGCAGAAGCAGAAATTACTTTTTTCATGCATCAAGTAACTTTTATTGCGTGCACAAAATTCACAATAGTTTTTTTTCTTTATAACAAAGGTATAATGTATTATCTTAATATGTTTTAATGATTACACAGGCCTGTAAAATTGGAGGTGTTGAAAGTTGATTGGGATTTAACTATATTTTCTTACGTAATTTTTCGCGCTGAATCCGAATCCGGCGGCAGAATTGCTCTATCACGTCAGGTTTTTGAAAAAAGTGAGGTTAAAAGTGTCAAAATTGACGTTTTTTGACATATTTGTGATTTTTTTGCTAGCGAAGTAAATTTTTTTTCTGCTTTTGTTTACGCCATCTGAAAGTGTCAACATTTATCTTCAAAATATATTTTTTTTAACGCCGTACGCTTTTTTTTCACCGAGATAATCTCTGTGTAGTCACACAAAGAAAAACATTTTTGACACAAAATGTTTGTGTAATTACGCAGAGACTAGCTATGT